CACGATGATTTTGTCGATTCTGCGAAATTTGCTGCTGACTTATTCCACCATCTGCTTGACCAACTATCCTTCCTCTAACAAAATCTGACAATTCGAGAGAACCTTGAGTTCTAGGCATGTTGTAGCCCAAGATAATTAGTGTGCGGACCATTTTCATTTATATAGTGCTCTGTGAACTCAAATTAGGTAGCATAAATCAGTTAAATGATGAAAAATTGGTGTCTATTTACTTGTGACCACTCAGTGTATATAATTTGTTGAATTCCAAGTTGTACTGAGTCAGCAAAACTAACAAGGGTTATGTTATAGCAACTACATGTCTAAAAATATTTGTAATTTTTTTATAATAGACCATGAAATTAAATACCGTACTCTAATAACAATAATAATTCAAGATATAAGTATCTTGAATGACAATTACAATTACTGCTATTTGTGATTAAGTAATATAAAAATTTACCAGGTAGTGGTAATAGCTTCTTCTGGTAACACATGAGGTGATGTAACCTTTTGAGGGCTTTTATTTGTTAACTCTAGATCTCCATTCATCTTTAATGTTTTGTCTTTAGAATTTCTGCTTGGACATAATGAGCACACAGGAGAATATACCAGTGACTGATGCTGGATATGATCAGTTCCCTCAGGTAAAGATTTTGTTAGGCCAAGTGGGCTGTGAATGTTAGGTTTAATATCACCTAAGCTTTGGGAGCTCGTATGTCGTACCACTGTTGAATGTCGCATTGCAGATGAGATGTCATTCAGAATCTGTTGTAATTCTTCAAAATCTTCTTTGTGATCCTAAACAAACAAACATCATATACTTTATATTTTGAATCAACCATAGACATGGCTTTAATATAGAGTAATTTCATGACTGTATAACTAATCATCAACTTGATTTTCAGTATCATATCAATATAATGCTGATCTTGCATGTTAAACTCAGGAAAAATTACCTAGAAATTCAAAACATTTCCATCTTGAAGCAAACATAAATTTAATTGCTTTAATTCTTATTGAGGATAGTCTCCTTCAAAATATTGTAAGCTAAAATTAATTATATTAAATACATACAATTCATATATTAAGGGGATTAATATATACCAAATGCAATGTATTATATGTTTTAACTCTTTAAATAAATGGCTTTCATTTTATTAGAAAATAAATTTTACACTCTTAGTAACATTAATCATTAATCTAATTTTTGTACCTGACAGCAAGTTTATTTTTAACCATATAAAAGAAAACTGTAAAATGGCACTGGCTTAATTTTGAAGAATGGGTATACTTACAGCATGTATCAAAAAACAATGGACATAAAATGCCAGTTGTCATTTTGGTTTCTTTACTGTTGCATATTCGCATTGATTTGTGTGAAACTCTTTAAACCCATTATATTGAGGTAGCATTTGTGTGTAAACAGAGGTTAATTTCTTGAATGTTTTATATTGGTACTTAATAAACTGCAGGGTGGGTAAGTGAATGCATGCCATTCCCTCCCCATGGTTTTTAAGATGTTTTATTATTTGACAGCATAGTAAGCTAAATGTCTAACAATTCTACTGCAAGACTATATTTCACATTTATAATTTTGTATAAATACATTTTGTTGGGTTCAGTACTACTTCTAAAATCATTTTCTTGTATTCTACTCTCATGTGTAGTAGAAATTCTTTGCTTGTGTAGCAAACACTTTAAATACATGTTAGAAGATAAATGCAATGTTTGATTTTTAATTTGATATGTGATGTCTGATATTAATGGCATTTATCACAGTAAAGTCAAACTATTCCAGTAGGACTGTTCCAATCAGTTTTTTTCTCTCTCACTTTTTGCCATCATTATCAACCTGGCCAGGACAGACAGAAAATAATTCCTGGCATTGAAGGCACAACTTTTGATATGCATTGTGCATTTCATAATGTTATCAGAGTAATTGAATCATACAATAGAAAAAAGTAGCTAATCTATAGATGAATCCCCTACTACTTACATGCTTTAGAAATGTTCAAGATCAGAAACTTACTAGACAGTTGTGCTGCTGTAATTTCAACAATTTCTTTTTAAAGTTGGCATAACTGATTTGTGGTTAAACCCAACCATGTTACACAATGAAATGATCTGTTATAGACCAAATTGATTGTTAGTACATGAATTTGCTGGTTAGAAGATTCCTTCTAACATATGAGTCATGTAAAAAAATCTAAACAAAAATATCATCAATATTGAAGTAATTTCACTAATTTCTGCTTGGGTTCCTCGTGTAAGTTACACAGAAAATTAATGATTTATCCCAAATTTTTATTCAATTCTTTAAACTGAGTGTTGTGATAGATAAAACCATAAAATTACTCAATGTATTGTAATATGTGAATAGCACCAATAGGGAATGGTATAAAAAAACAAGTTGTTAATTTTAAGGTTAAAAATTACAAAAATACCATAATTTATTAGGGATTTTCTTCCTATAGTTATTCCAGATTAGATAATATCTCATTCTTATTAGATTCAGAATAAAAGCAATCAACAGAAAATCTTACCAACTTATTCATCTTAGGAATGCAGTCTATCAGTTGGGAGTGGAGAATTGATAACTCTTTCCCTAGGTCAATTTGTTCATTGATGTTTAGTTTGTCTCCCTTATCTGGAGTCTTAAGAAAAAACACAAGAAACAGTCTTATTCTACAACCATATAGTTCCTGCAGGTGTATGTTTTATTAATGCATGTACTTTTGTACTCTTTTTTGGCAAAAAATAAAATAAACTTTGAGATTACATAACTTTTCAGTCTTGTTTTTCTTCATAATATGAAACGTTCATTTTCGTTTATAGATATTTTCTATTGTTCATATATTTAATTTCCACTTCTATTTACACCAAATATACATTGGTTTAGAATCCAACATGAAAAATGTATTTGCAAGTTCTGAATAACAAATTACATTTCATAAGTAGCTGAATACTGAAATTTACAAGCTATTTTGGCTCAGCTAAGTTTATTGTATAATATTCTATTCAAACAAGTGATGCATCTTCAGATTTGAATGACAGCAAATGTATGTTTCATTAATGCATGCACTTTTTTTTTACTCTTTTGTGGCAAAAAAAGGAAAGTTTGAGGTTACATAAGTTTTCAGTCACATTCAGAACTTGTTCTTTCTTCCTAATATGAAAAGTTCATTTTGGATAACAAATCTCATATCATGACTCACTGATTCCTAGAATTTTCATCTGATTTTTTAAAAATTCTATATCTATTATTTTTGGTTTGTGTATTAGTGTGAAAATTTACAAAAACATTTCATATGTAAATCAAATAATGCAAAAGTGCACTATACTGTTCATGAGTGAACTTCAATTATCTCACTGCTATTATTTTGCTATGCAATGATCCACAAATTCTATTATTATGCAAGGTACATATACGAAATATCCTGCTAATGTGATTATTAAATGTACTCAGTCCCAGAAGAGGAAGATTCTACTTTCGTTACTGGTTATGCTGAAACTATAACTGAAATAAACTTCACCTAATATTCAAAACAAAATCTCCCACCCCTCCCCAATTAAGGCATAAACAGTAAGATGGCTGTTGTAAATCTTTCTTCAATGAAGAAACATCAATTTCACTAGAAATAATTAATTTGGGGTAATAACACAGTAAAGCTCACTGAAATTTGCTGGAGAAAGTTCCTCATTTTGTCTTGTTGTTTATCTACAAACTGATTCAGGAATTCCATAAATTGTTCCTTCTCTCCAAACCTTAAAAAAAAGAAAAAAACAACAACTAAGAATTCAGTTTCAATATATCTAAAATATCAAACTTCTTTGTTTTAAGACGAACATATGTAGAATAAACATAAATCAAGTTATGTGTAATAAAATGAAAGAATATTGATAAAAAAATTAAAAACAAAACAATTGTGATTGTAAAATTAGTCAAAGTGATTAACAATGGAAGTAAATAATCTAAAGGCATTGATCTCACATTATAAAGTCCCTAATTGCTGAATGATTAACAATGAAAGGAAATAATCTAAATATATTAATCTCACCTTGTAAAGTTTGCCAATGTCTGAATGGTTTTAGCAATAAGTGTCAAGTTTCTTGCTGATCTAGGTTCTGGATACTCTATAAACAAGTAAAACATTACTGAAATTCTAACTTAAGTTAATTACTTCTAGCTTCTTACACTGCAAAAAAATATTTCAAACCAAGCACTTAAGAAGTCAGAAGTTGATAGGAAAAATTAAGGCCCTTTTTGTTTTCTTGTAATGTTTATTTGACCAGCCTGTTTTGGTTCAGTTTTATTGTGCATGTGTTGTTAATTCATTGTATTAGGATCAGAGTAACAAAAGACAATCTTCAAATTTACTATAATTAATCAGAAACACAGCACTTTTTGATGCAAATTCATTATCTTACTGCTTTTAACAAAATCTTTTACTTAAAAAATAATTTTCTGGAAAACTATACCTTGTGTGAGGTTAAAAAGACTTGGATACAAGATGGCTGGACACAAGAATCTCAAGAAGATGGAAGAACTTATGAGTTTATCACAAATGTGTTCTTTCTGAATGGCTTTGAGCTGATTTCTATACTCATAAAATACTTCTTTAAATTCTCTGAAAAACGTAAGGAATTCATCAGTTTACAGGAATATGTTTTCCACAAAGTCAAATTCAAATTTATATACTTTAAATTTAATTAATTCTTTTAATAATAGTTTTAAAATGTTAAGCTCTAAAGTAGCATTTTACTTGTGCATTTAGCATAATATACATACAAAGATTTGTTTGAAATCTTAAGCAGTAATGTAAATATTCCTTATGTCATTTAAATTGCACACACACATTTGAAATGTAAAACATCTCAAATGAAATTGTAAGTATGCCTTACAGTAATTTTATAAACAGTATCATAGATTCTATTAATGTTGAAAACAAATCATTCTATCTATAACAGTGATTCCCAAACATTTTTACACAACTGACCAGAAACTCTTTGTAAAATGCTTATGGATCAATAAGGGTTTATAGCCTTATAGTGCTGTTTCCTAACTTAGCTTCTCCAAGAAACTCTGAGATCCACTTATTTTACAATAAACTAAGAAGGAAACAACACTTTTAATCCATTTTAAAACATGTACAAATTATAAATTTTATGAAAATTTAATCTTTCATAATACTTTTTTATTTTTTATTTTACTGGATCTTTCTGTGGACTGGCATGGACTGAATCTGGTCAGGGGACCAGCAGTTGAGAACTATTGATCTATAACATTATGCCACATATATACATGTATGTTCAGAACTTCACAAAGTTATTGATATTATTACCAATTAACCTTGAATATTAAAAAGACAATACTTACAAGGGCAAATTTGGAGTTGAGCTAATAATTTTATCCCAAGCTTCTTCCACAAACTGTAATAAGTTTTTCTGTTGTTGCTGGAGTATGGTTTCATCAGGAACTTTGCTAGTATCTACCTAGGAAGCAAAAATAGAAAACAAACAAACAATTTTTCATAGGAACTTTTGTAAACCTGTTTATTACACAAAAAAGAATTACCTAACTTTGAAACCTTTCATATATGAAAATGCATGTGTATATTTCTCAATAAATATGTAAACACATACTGGAATTATTATAACTGTATTACAAATATATCTTATCATCCTCAAGTCTTCCTTTTAATCTTAGACTGGGTATTACAGCTCTTTGTAGCTACATGTTGAAAAATTAAAAATGTTTCTAATTAAGACTGTGTATATTTATGCTCTTCTTATATTTATATTATTATTTCTTATGCACACTTAACTGCATGATTCAATTTTTCTATCTTCTACTACATACTTTTTGAAGATTTTATTAGTTTATGATCAGAATATTTTTTTGTCTGAAAAGGGATTTTTTTAAAGAGAAAGTTTCCAAAACTGATCTCTTCACTGTTATCTAATATTTGCTTACTGCCAGATGATTTAGTAACCCCCTAAATGAAAACCTGTAAAATCAATCTCTATAAAGCATTAACAAAATTACTGATTGGTCCTCTGAGCCAATATTCCATTTACATATTCTACATTTTGGATGATCCGTTAATAGTAGTATTGTAATCAAAGAGAGCTAAGGTATAACTCATGTCCTATATGTCCAAGTAAACCCACATGAGTGACACCATATAGTGAAAGCTTTTCGTGATTAACAGAACTATTAAGGAAAAGAAAAAGTCACTGGTTTTATGGTCAACACAAATTTGTGTGGTAAACCTTACAAGTTAAGTCCCATCAGATTCAAAAATGTATTTTTCATAAATGAAATTACAGTATTTAAGTATATGGTTTATGATTTTATAGCTTAGATCTATATATTTCCAAAGCAAAGTCCTGTTCTAGTAGATACATACAAGTGTGATATTTGTTAAAAAGCCTTATTAGCAGTAGTTAGTAGGTTAACCTTTTAGACTAGCTGACAAAGCAACCACTTTGCCTGCAACAGTTCTTGGGTTAAATCCTGCTTATGGAAGATGCAATAATTGGATTACCAAATAAGTACAATTCTTACCAAAGAGGCCTACTTTCAGGAGTTGTACATGTTCCTTTGGATTAGAATAAAATCACAAGTATAAAAATATACTAATATAAACAGTTAACTAATCGTAACATTGAATAGCCAACAAACTCAAGGGAAAAAAATTATTCTAATTTAAAATGCATTAGGAGTATATCTAACTCAATTCACTAAGTTTGGATCATGACACAAGATTGTTACTACATCTCTAAAGCAACAGCAACTTTTATTCAATCGTACAAACTGTCCTCTTTTTCACAACAGCTTATGCTGCTCTGCATGCAACAGGACAGTAGATTCCTGTCATTATTGCACCTTAGAGATTCAAGAACAAACATTGAAATAAACAACGTATCATGTATACTGTGTATAATTAGTAGACAATATTGCAATAACTACATCTCTTGCATCCTGTGCATACCTAGAACTCAGTCAATTTTGCAACAACTACATCTTTTGCATGTATATATTGTGCATACCAAGCAGTCAATATTGCAAGAACTTGAATACTGTACATACCTTAGCAGTCAGTTTACAATAACTATATCTCTTGCATACTGTGCATACCTAGTAGTCAGATCCATTTAAAAGTGTAACTGTTTATTACAAACTTGTAAAAGAATCATTGCAACAATTTTGATATGTCTCAATGTTTTTCTAAGGATGTGTAATTTCACAGTGAATGTATTATCAGTGAGACAACATTGAGTCTATCTGTTAACAGTATACATAGTGGACCATTTAAGTCTGGAATGTTTATGTGAAATTTAACTGTTTCACAAATTCTGACAGAAAAAAATTATGAAGTTATACATGACATTTGTTTTCTGAACTCCATTAAAAAACACAATGTAAAACACTGGAAGGTTAAATATTAATCAACCTAACTGCATTTGAAGACAAATAAATAGTTATAATTTGATACTTTTCTTTAATATTTTTGGTTAGTAAATAAATAAAAAGAAACCTCAGTTTTATCAGATTTAGAATAAACACAAATATGTTACTCTTTAGGATACAAGGTAAAGTTTGTGAGAAATATGCAATGATATCTTACCTCACAGTCATCTTCAGAACTTAAAATGTTTGTTATAAATTCCTTCAAGGTATCTTGCAAATACTGCAACAGAGTTATGTAATTAACTAATTTTGATTTCCAAAGTTATACACTTTTTTAATGAGGTAAAACATCTAATATAATTTATTAAATAAAGTCAGTATTGCTAATCAGAAAATTAATCCTATCTTAAATCAAACACACTAAAGCTCCTTTAACTGTTTTACATCAAGAGCCACATTAATTAATTTTATTAGCCATATGACTTTTGACATATTCTCTTATTTTTTATCCATAATTGAAAAAAAACTTTGAAATTCTTTAAACATAAACTGCCAGAATGTCCAATTGATTCTGTTTATAGATACAGCAAGAATAGTTTCTCAAAGGTGGCTTTGAAGTGCAATTATATTACTACAGTTAATATTAGCTAGCCTGAATGTAAAAATCAAGAATTTCTTGAATTTAAGATTTTTTCTCAGAATATATATATATATGTATGAAGTTGCAATCTTATAATATAAATTTAAGTGAATTTTTATATCTGCAATTTTAATGTGGTATAAATACCTGGCAGATAGACTACCACCATGATTATATACTGGAATACAAAAAGGGTTGATCACAATCTATTCTATGGTACTAATCTGCAAATCCAATCATCTTGTTCTTGACTATCCCCAGAGTCCATGACCACACTTGAAAAATTCCTGACTCTTGTTGCAATTCAATGATTTCAAGAGTATATGGTGCCTAAAATTTTCCTCTTCTGAAAGGATTACATTACAGAACTTTCCAATGTAAAGTTTTCATGTGTTGTTTCAAAGAAATAAATGGCTTTAATGCTGAACCATAACGATAAAGAAAGGGAAGGTGTTATTCCATCAAAGAAAAAACAGGATGCTCGATAACTGGTTACCATTCACACATCAGAGGTGGTGAAGAAAGTTGAATACCAGAAGTAACCCATGAACACAGCAATAAGTCCATTGCAGCTACAATAAGGACCTCCTTTAGAACTAACAACAAGATAATTTATATGGATTTAGGTCTATATATGTAACACAAGCAATTTTTTTTCAAGTTTTTCTCAAAGCACTAGCTGAAGGTAGATCAACAGTCAAAAGCTGTTATGGAGAAATGGAAGTCTGCCATTACACTGGATGAAACATATATTTACTTAAGTGCTTGCAAAAGTTTGAGCAATTTATTAATGCATCTTGCCAGTGATAAAATACTTAAAAAGTGGTAAAGATCATGTTATTAAGGTATTTCCATGGGTTTTATGGTGGTTGCAGGTTATAGCTGTAATAGTATTTAAACACCTGGAGAGTAAACAAAATGCGAAGGTGAATTTTGTATACTATTAGGCTAATGTACTAACACTGCTATATTGTGAGAAAATACAATATTTGTACAAACAAAGCATCCATCCACAAATTTGAGTCAACATGCCAGTTCCTCTACAAGAGAAATACAAACAGGAATTCATCTATACCACTTGCAGACACCTACCATGGACTTCTGCACCGCCAAGTTGCATAAATATAGCCTAGACTTTGTCATATACACATAGCTTGATTTAAAAAAAAAAACATGTAAAAAAGAGGAGGACACACTGAACTCATTTCAATGCACAAAAACGTCCAGCAATAAACATTACACTACACAGCAACAGTACATAACCAGGTCCATGATATAAAGCAACCACACTGGTGAAATAGGAGACTGCAACACTTAGACACTCAACCTTGCATCATTACCTTAAATTATGAGAATCTTTCTGTAGATCACTCTTAGTTTATGCATATCATGTTAAGAAAAAATATGTAAAATTGCTTAATACTTTTTTTACCATACATTTTCAAATAGGCACTTCAGATAAAAATGTTCTACTGTTAAATGTTTTTTGGGGCAATTTGTATTCGTCAAAACACATTTACTTTTTTTGCTAATTATTTAAGAACTTTTATCATTTACCTATATATATATTAAAACTAAAAGCCTATTATGAGTCCAAATTTGGAAAATAAAATTTAGTTGCACAAACGTTTATGAACATCCATGCAAGGATTGTTGCAGAAGTAGTTTTGCTCATTCCTTGTTCTTATGAGGTAAATAGTGTTATAAATATACTTTTCTTCATCTTACAGTTTTTATATTTCATTTTCATAACCTCTAGAACCTCCTATATGAAGTAAAATAATGCTAGACAAGAAACATACTTCTAGGTTGTGCAACTATAACACATTTTAGGCATTTTCAAGATACACAGCACTAAACTTTAACACATGTATATTTTATCATAATGAACACTTCTTTCAAAAACTTGGTGAAAAAGGAGTTAATAGAAAGACACAAGATTTTATTTTCAGCAAAACACAGCAATAAACTTTTCAAACTTGCAACATTTCAAACAAAAATGCAGGTTCAAATTATTTGTTGATTATTTCATGATATTCCTCACCTTATCTCCAAGTAGCTTCATGTAAGCTTCAGATGCTTTTGTAGCAAATGAATTCCCACGAAATGTTAGATGTTGATCATCTTATGAAAAGCAAACAAAAGTTACTCCATCAAAAGCCTTTTTAATTCTTCAGTAGTATCTAACAGGTAAAACATGTAGTGGCAAAACAAGAACATTTTCTCCAAAAAAAAAGAACTTTCAAATTGTTCAGGACTAAGGAAGTGTGTAGACATTCTTACCTATTCAGTGCAAAGGAATTATGTGGTAAGTTAGAGCCAAATAGTTTCATCCAAACAAACCCTTCTTAGGTGTTTTATCATATATGCAGGAAAGCAGGTAGTTAATGAAATAAAGTGCTGATAATTTTGGAATACATTTATTTGTGTGTTTTTTTAATATATAAATATTGAAACTTTAGAATTTTATTCTCTGTATGAACATTTCAGCTTTTAGCCAAGGATACTTAAATCATTATTTAATCATTCCAGAACGGGCTGATGCAGTTTGCATCACTTTGACTGGGGAAGGACATTTATGTAGAAAACGTACGGTAACTCTGAGTGTTCCTCAGAAAACCTCATAAAATTTTGTTAAAGTTTATAAGTATTTTCTACACAAAGAATGATATTATTACAATTATTTCCTTCTAATAAAAATGTTATTTATTTATAGTAGTTATTTTAACAGTTTGAGTGCAAGGTAATTTTACATTTTAAGTATAAGTATACTTTTCTTCATCTTACAGTTTTCATATTTCATTTGCAACACCTCTAGAACCTCCTAAATGAATATCAAAAGTTTTTAAAGATAAATGTTTATATTTTATTTTTCATTTTTTCTACCATATCACTAACTAGCTATTATCATCAATGTACAATGCAAAGAAATGATTAAAATTAGGAAACAGAAGAGAAAAAAAATGCATACCTTTTAATTTTTTGTAGAATATCTTTAAATATATTGTTTTGGTTACATTAATAATTTCAGGTATTTTCCTTTTTACATATAGTTAATTTTTAATGTTTTATTTTCCTTTCTTGTCCTTTACCATTTATTTTTCCTCTATACACAAGTCAATGGTGCCATTGAGGCATATTACAGTGTTTCTGGCAGACATGCGCAAACCTTAGGCAAAATTTTTGTGCACCAAGTAATATAGTAAACCTTGAGAACTGACACAAAGTATGATGCATATTAAAAAATGTTTAAACCTTTCAATTATGCATTTTAAAGCATAATTAATATATATATAATTAAATAAAGCATAATAGCAATACCTAAATACAATTTAAACTGTATTCTAACTATAACATATTTAAGTTAGAAACAACCATAAGTGCTATAGTCGATCAGGAAGCCAATATTGCTGCAGTCAGTTACATGTACTTCTTGATGACAACTGCACGCCAATTTCAAAATAACCAATGAAACAATGATGAAAAACTGTCAAATATTTTCTGCTCTATTGTATTTATTGTTATGGTATACTCTTTACATGTATGATAATTATTATTAATTGAAGTAAAAAAAAGTAATTTTTCTTGTTTATTTAACACATGAACTTATTAAAATTTTGCAGAAACAGAAAAAAACATACCAATTTTTTTAACATCTTCTATCACAATGTTTGTAAGGAATTCCTTTGCCTTGTCTTCTTTTTGCATGATACGGACTAGAATAACTGCTATGTCTTCCTGCAGGATTGTAATACATTATTAATGAGATAAAAAAAAATCAATATATGTACATTTACAAGTAAAACTCATTCATTAGAATCTAAATTAAAAGGAAACACTTGGTCACTACAAAATATGTTTTATTTATGTGAAAAACATCAGTAATTCTCTCAAGAAAACCAAGGTTTTATTTTTATAAGTGCCCCATGTGCTCAATTTTCAGCATGCACCATAATGGTTATAAGCAGATTAATTCCAATTTTTGATTAATTAGTAAACACACTCAAACAAAAAAAAACATTTTTTAATGTATAGCACACCCTATGGGAATGATGATTTTATGGATTTACTCTAAAGCTGTGGTTCTCAACCTGTAATCTGTGGACCCTTAGGGGTCCATGAGCATTTTAAGGATAGTCCATCATTGTAAAGATCAAGTTTATATATTATACTTTAAAAAAAACAGTATTATGTTTAATTAAATGAAAATAATGTTTTATTTGACAATTTTATTAACTTCATATTTATTTACGTAAATGCCACTTTTATAAACTGAAGGATCATCTTCTGCAGATAGACTTATCTGAGACTAGAGTCCCGTAGGATTGTCTTTGGTTCATGGAGGGGGTCCATGAAATAAAAATTGAAAAACTACAGCTCTTAAGACACAATTATCAACTATTTGATAAAACTTTAGTTTTTTTATATCCCCCTCGCAGAATTTGTACAATGAAATTTAGAAATTCACAGAAACTTAGGTTATGATCTTGAGATTCAAATATTTTTGTAAGACACATGGATAGATAAATTAAGTTAACTGAATTTAATTCTCTATGTCACATAAGTGTTTATTGAAGATCACATTATGGCATATCAACAATTCAGAGTTTAAATATAATTTATCTGCAGCCCTAAAAAAAAAATTATCAAAATTAAGTTTTAACAATGTATTATGTGAAATGAGATTCAGCAGCTAGAATGTACTTTAAATGCACATTTTTTTTAACTGTTCTTTTCCAGATATGGCACATTACAAAATACAAGTACCAGTTATTTGTGGACTATTTACAGTTTTAAGCTCTAAGGTTTGGAAGCACTTTTAGCTTAACTAAGAACAGGGTTAGAGCATCAAACGACAAAGAAAGCACCATCAATTTAGCATAAAACACATTTAGGGTTAAAGTTTGAACTAAGTATGCATACATATGACAATTGAAAACTGTACACAATATACAACAAAAAATGAATGCCATTTATATAATCAAACTTTTTCATTAAGATTGGTGAGAAGTTACTCAGTAAGTAATCTAAACACATACACACACAGTTTCATTCTCATAAAAACAGTTGTTGATAAAGTTTTTGCCATGTAACAATAACATGTATAGGTAGGAAATGGGAGTTGAGATATGAGGACAACTTTAAATTTGCTGAAAACTTTACATAAAAAATAAACTTGCAAGTTTCAAAAACTGCTACAACCTCTGACATTCATATCTTTGAACCATCTTCCACAACCTTTCAAATCTCTAGCACAAAGGCAAAGAAGGAAGAGAATATGAATACATAGAGAAAAACTTTGAAGTTTCATCACAAATAATACTAAATAAGAAACATTAGTTATACCTTGACAAGTACTTGAACAGGCTCTAACATCTCAGTAAGTGGTTTGTTCTTAGAACACAGGAACTGAAGGAAAAATTAAAAATAAATACATATATACAGTATTTAACTACACTTTGTGCTTCACAGGTCATCAAAGTTACAGTTTTAGATACATTACTGAAGAAAAATTTGCTAAAAACTATTGCTGACTACTTGTGTTTTTAAATCAAACCAAATAAAGCATTAATCATCATGGAAAAATTAATCATTCTAGTAGCATAATATTTATTTTGAAAAACAGTTTTTATTTCTAATATCTGCATTAAATAACAGTAAAATATCATGAACAATAAAAAAGTCTTTAACATAGTTTTATCAGCTTCACAACATATTTATAACCTTTCATTATATTTCTTAAAGTTTACTAAAACTTTTTATTTCAAAAACATGAGTATTGGAATTAATAGAGATTTATTCAAATATATATATTATGATTCTAATTCTATTTTGACTTGTCTAAACATTTTATCATCTCAAACGATTAAAAAGGAAAATTATATCTATCAAAGATACTCAAGTTGTTTCTACACATATTTCTATGTAACATGATTTTCCATAAATATTTTTATACCTTTCACTATCAGGTCATTATTTAAACATAAATATTTATATCACTTGAAAGTTGCATTTTTGAAAAATTCTTAATAGCCAACATATTATCAAAATCTAACTTTTCTTAATATAATCAATTTTTCTGGAGTTAATCAACAGTAGACAAACTACAACTTAAAAGGTATAAAAATGTAAAAAATTATTAGTTCTAGAATTAATGAAATTCAAATACACTGACTGGTCACAAGTAAATAGACACCTAATTTTTTGTCATTTAACTGATTTATGCTAACTAATTTGTGTT